TRTATTTACATACAAAATGGATGTATTTCTTAACAAAACAATGTTTAATTTATATAGTGTAGAATATGTGAATGAACTGGTCAGTTTGTTTATAAGAAATAATAAAGGGCAATATTTGTGTGGAAATTGTTCTGTTTTTATTTACATTTGTTGTGTTTAATATACATTTGTTTTTTTAATTTGCAAGGTATTTTGTGATTACATCATATTCGTACAGAAAGATTTTAATGTTGCTGCATCATCAATATTCCTTGTTTAGCATTTTGATATTTTAGTTTTCAGAGAAGTGGTATTAAATTAAGCTTCAATTCTTATTTCCATATTGACATCATTTATTGATTTGTATGTACAGTAGTATAAAATAGCTGACTTATATCAGAAGGTCATATAACACCATCCACTAAGTCAAGWGTGCCTGCAGACAATGTCAATGGAAACTAAAGAAAGACATTGAATCATTTTATAGAAAAACATGATAAAAAAGGCAGTGAGACCCAATCCTTCCAAAACACCTCTGATAGTACTGACTGATTGAGCCTGGGATGTAGTCATGTGACCTCTAAGAGCAAGTCCCACTCTATTCAGTTAATTCATTCATTTTTTATTCTCAAAAACCTGATGACTCAGTTGCTCTTCATGTAACTTTGCGCGGCGCTTGGCCAGGCCTGACTTGGATGGTGGTGAGAGACCAAGTATGTTGATTCTTGGTTGACCACCATTACCAGACATTGCATTAGCTTCACTAACCATGCGGTTCACTGCTACAGCTTCTGCGGCAAATTCTTGAAGGTTGTCAGGTGTGGATGATTGTCTGATGGGAGAGAATAGTGTGAGGATAGCATTAAGTAAATTGAATTCATTCATTCATACAAAAACACTGTGATAAAAACAAATGAAAATATTTAGTACAAACTCCTTGTCTAGTGACAGTTTTGTGCAATTTCACACAGAACTGTTTCACAGATTTAATAACATTCTCCTGTCTAGATAAGTTAAAAACTTATAAATTGTGACAAGAATTACTGCAATATCTTTCTTACCTGCTAAGCAGTGTCGGGGTTGCAAGTACAAAATGACTTGCCTGTTAAAAGAAAGCAGATGGAATCAATAATGGGCGATTTGCACTAAGTGATCACGTGATCTAATCCGCCATTGTGGCTGGTCGCAGCTCTTTGTTTACATTTTTGTTATACCGAAAAGTAGTCGCGAGACCAGCCACAATGGTGGATTAGATCATGTGATCATTTAGTGGAAATCGCCCATTATAATTTAAAGTGGAGAGTTTGTCCCACTTCTATAGATTACTTTGTGGATGGACCTTGATTTGGTGAAGATACAGAAGTCAATGTACAACTTAGTTCTGAAAGTGTGCATATAATGACAGCAGTACCGTATCAATCCAGGGATGTTCAAGAACCATATCYGCCGTGTATCTCTTGGTAGCATCTCGTACTAGTAGATGAGATATCAGATCCTTAGCAAGACTAGACACTCCATCCCATTCCTGTGGTAAAAACAACAACATTTATGAAGTAGATTGTGCTAACAAGCCAGAATCACAGCTACACCATAGTATAGCTGCTGATACAGCAAAATGTCTAATAACATGGACAGACAAATCAAATGCATTTATTAGTATACCATACCTTTTCTGGGAATTCATAGACACTTTCTTGTATTCTTTGTAGAAGCATCTCCTATTGAGATGAGAACAGTCAATAAAAGTGATGAAAGTCATGTATAACTAACTGACTGGAAACATACAGTTGTCATTAGGTAATGAAGTAGAGTTAATGTTACATAATAAGATCCTAATCAAATTAGATCTYCTTACCTGGCAAGCCTTGCAGCTGTCACCTCTTTCCCATCCACAATCACTGCCGCACTTACCATAAAATGGAGGATGACCMGACAACATGATGTACCTTCAAACACCACACAATCATAGAATAAGTATATCATAATATGTCAGTCTTCAGTCAATCTCACTTACAATATAACACCAAGACTCCATAAATCACATTTCTTGTCRTATGTTGTAGCCATTGTTTTGAAGGCATCAACAACCTCTGGTGCCATGTACTCTGCTGATCCAACCTACAAAATTATGATTGAAAGGTGTCAGTTTCATTCATGAGGCATACCATACAATAACCTATATATAATACAGTATTTTCCACAGGTAGACCAAACATACGTTTAAGTAACCACAGGCACATGTAGCCCACATATTTCATCATATCACCACAGGGAGCCCGCACATAATAACCACAGGTATYCCATACACTAAGAACTTAAATATACACTTTGTTCTCACCGGCGTTTGTAGTTGAGGTGTTGTTACTGTACTTAGACCATCGATTCCACTSGCCAAATCAAAATCACATATTTTCACTGGAGAAACCTGAGCATAATTATTCAAAGTTATAAATAATCATAAAATTTTCCCTGCCAATTTTTCAGTCAAGTCTTTAGTAAACAAACATGTTCAGAGAAGTATTGAATACAAACCTGGTTGGCAAAGGCGCACAGGATGTTGTCTGGTTTTAGATCCCTGTGAGCAATACCTAAAACAACAAAGATATATATTTATATATAATACATAATTTAGACACCATTTCCAGGAAATTACTGGAAAATACCACAAACAAAGGAATTTCCAGCAAGTGACTAGATAATATACCTTTCTTGTGTAAGAAATCCAGTGCACATGCAATATCCCTTACTACCATGCTGGCCTCTTTCTCTGTGAATACCTTTCTTTTTTCAATATGTTTTAATAGTGGACCTGGAATAAATAATTACTGACATGATGCTTGAKATAAAATAATGAAAAAGAGTGAAATGATGACATACCTCCTTCCATCTTCTCAAATATCATGTAAAACCTTGTGTYAAAAACAAAAAGAATTCTTGATTAATGGACGTTTTTAAATACGGTAATATTCTGACTGGACACTGTCTGCTGACCATCTCACACTTTTTACTCTGACATAGGAGTATTGAATGGTATAATCTGTGCCTCACCGAGCCTGCAAGCCCCTCCTTTTTAAATTCGAGCCCAAGTCTCTGGCTGAAATCYGAGCCCCTGGCAAGATTGCGAGCCTTGGGAAATTTTTGGCGAGCCTTGCGATTTCTGAGACACCATTCTAATACCCCTTGAATTCATTGTTAGAATCTATTTGTAAAATTATATGTACATACTTGTCCTTATCTTCAAAATATTCAATGCACTCCATGATATTCCTAGAAAAAAGAACAAAATAAACTGTAATTGTTGTACAAATATAATGTAATATTTCAGTAAGGATTATGGAGGGCAAAATAATAGTCTTTATAATTACTTACTTGTGCCCTTTGCAATGGTAAAGCAATTCAATTTCATTTAATACTCTTTTCCTGTCAACTCTTGCTGATTTGTGAACAATCTGAATCATAAAATCAGTCATTTATCCAAGTGCAAGGTAAAATAAATTCTTTTTTTTTTAATTCAATAGTCACTGATTTATTCATTATCCACATATTTTTCTGATGTATTTGCATGTCAATTAATGTATGATTATTATGTTTTAAGACAAAATTACCTTGACAGCATATTCTTTGTTGTTTAAYGTGTTAATACAGCCCTGGACAGTGGTGTTAGCCCCTTGACCAAGTATYTCATCTGTCAGCTTATAAATATCTGTTGACAGCCAATAATATCTTGAAATACTGGTACAATATCATATAGTCACCAGAGCAAAGATTATTGACTGAGACTGTTCATTATGAATAAAGATACCCAGTCACTTTCTAACCCCATCCGATCCCTTAACAGAGGAACACAGGAAGCCCAATAGAACAGTAAAGAGTTACAGCCAGACACTGCAACTCAGACCAGACACTGTACTATTCTTTATAGAATGCTAGTRACATGTCTTCTCTTGAAAGCATTAAAGACAACATATTTTTAGAATGACTAGGATATAGATTGAATCTGACACATATTTTCAACTACTAACCATGAAAACCTCCGCACAGACTGTCGCTCGCTCTCTTCTTTTTTTTCTTTCTTCTCTTTACATTATTATTGACAGGTGGTGGTGGTGGTGGTTGGAAAATATCTAAAAAAGAAAYAGAAGAAGGCATAAATCTACAGCACAGAGGGCTACTGGATAATGTGTYAAAATTCTATTAAACCACATTTAGAGCAATGGTGAAAGGCTCATTGAACGTGTGATATAAGTGACCATCATTATAGATACCAATAGATTAACACTTCTTAGGAATTAACACCTGTAGTTTACTAGTTTATAATCATGTTTTTTAACTTTCCTGAGGCTAATAAATATGTATGCCTACTGATATTATACCTTCAGTTGGGGGATCCAAATCATCTTTGTGATCTTCACCTGCTTGTCCATCAAAGGGCACATTTTGAACAGTTGAAGAATTATTTGCCGTCTTTATATCCATGGTTGCTTCYCCAGAGCTATGAAYATTATTGTCTTTCAAGCTATGTTTRGAGAAGTAAACAATCTATATCCAACAACTTTTATTTATTATTAATAACACAATTTAATGTWAACTCCCTCGAGTGAATACAAAATTATATGCGACCTTATCACGATTACCACAAAAGAGACACGTTGCATAAAATTATCTAGAAGTCATGGTTTTTGTTTACATGAAAATTTTTTACTTGTCTTAGCAAAACGTACCACCCATCATGGTGGGGTTAACCTCTTTTTGAAAGGCTAAACCTTRTAGCAGAGATTTAAACTCTACATGTACTTCTTAAGCAGACATCAAATTCAACATTCTCCAACACTAAAAAATCAATACGTGATCCAGTTATGGCTAATATTATTCATATAAATGGTTAGTTAATAATTAATAGAGATCTAATGTTTAGTAAGGTGTAACTCTTCTAACTGAATATACAAAAATGTAAAAAAAAAATTTTTACCTCCGCTCTTCTGCTGATGGTATGTGCAGCTAAAATATAAAAATATCAATAAATACTTTTAAAAAGATTAAAAAAAGATTTAAAAATAGTATGATGTCTCTTGGATTGTAGTTGATCTAGTTACCTGATGTGTGAATTATATATTTATCTTTTATTACCTTAAATGAGCGTTGAAAATTCTTCAGTTCCTCAAATGTTGTATCTGGACGAAGAGATGACGAAATAATTATTTCACGGAAGGGAAATTTATGGGGATTTTATGAATTAATTGCATCGATTTAATTTTAGCTCTAAGTACTTAAATCCACTTAATATTATATATAGAATACTTGGTATAACTCGTTTAATATAACTTAAACTCAGTAACAATGAAATGACGAACACGTTTTTAATTTGCACCCTTCATAAGTTTAATTTTGTGTCATATTTCAATTAATGATTTATCGCGTTGGCAGAAAATAACAGGCCGAGTTGTGTACCTTTGTCGAGTGGCTTTTTCTCTTCTTCATCATGTAACTAAATAAAAAAACGGGATAATAGGTTAATATTTCGCACAGAACTGTACAACACAAAAAAAAAACGCAGAGCAGACAGAATGTTTAACTCAACAACTTTCCTCGATAAAACAAAATAATTAAGTCCAAAGCAACATGTGGTCGAAAGATGAGTTATAATTTTATCTAAATGTTTCAAGGAACTGTTAAAAAGGTCCAAGGAAACGAGAAATTACCTGAATCCTTTGACTAAATTCAACGCTCAATCCTCCTGCCATCTTTTCTTGTTGTTATGAAATGGCAAAAAGAGACTGGGAACTAGCCGGCAAAAACCCGCCAAATCTGACGCGCCCCATGAAAGGATGTCCGCCCCAAGCCATTTTGCGCTTATTTTTGGAACATGATGCAACGCTACTCTTGTTTTTTTTTTGTTTATTTGTCCAATTTTAAAGCACAACTTTTTCACAAACACTTGATAATGCTAATTTCTAAATGTGTCATCTAACCATTTTATTACACTGTAATAATTTTAAAACAGGCATCTTGCAATACGTCAAGGATACATGAAAAGTTTCCATTGGCATTGCTTTATAAAGTCCTACTGAGTCATTCAAATATCTAGTTATTTTCTGAAATTTAAAGCCTTCTATCCTCTAATTACAATCCAAAAATATCTTGAAAAGGATCGAATTTTTGCGACATCATAATTTCTTAAGTCCGCTTGCYATTTATCAGCAACTGAAACTCACATTCTTAGACATAAAACAATGAAAACAKAGAATWWAAAAAGGAAAAATGAGAAGGATGTGTATGATTTGGGCTACCTGTGTKARCTTGGTGTCCAAGCCTTATMTTTWTCCGGCATGTCTTCCAAGATGGCGGCCTMTTTGTCCATTATTTTCGTTGTCCTTTTRTTTCTTTTCTCGTGCAAACCGTCTCTATCTTTRTATGAAGATCAAGTTGGTCAAATGGACTGGAAAAAGTCCTTTCTTGGTAAAGTGAAGTTCTCTCATTTTGATGTTTCTTCACACAGTAGTAAGCGACTTTTCGTTGCTACCGAGTCCAACGTCTTGGCTGCAGTTAACTCACGAACTGGGCAGATTATGTGGCGAGTTGTACTTGAAGAAGCTTCAGGRAAGATAGATGCCCTTTTACATCAAGGTAGCTTTCTTATTACYATCTCTGGATCTGGTAAATTTGTTCGATCGTGGGATACAGCATCTGGAAGTTTGTTATGGGAAGCCATGATGTACCCTGGTCCTGCTAACCCAAAAGACGTTCTAGTTAGTGGCTGGAATGGAATCACTGCTGCTTTACTAGAACATAAAGGAGAAAAGACTGTAGTTGTTCTTTCTCAAAACTTGGTGAAATCATACTCTCTCCAAGATGGCACTGAATTWTGGGGTTATGAGCCCTCTGATAAGACAATTCATTTGCATACTATTACACATTCGCAAGGCATAGTCCAAGCCATAGGAACAAAGAATGATTTAGARGTAGTTATTCACAGTATAACAGCTGACAAAGGCGCACTTCAGTCATCTGTAGAAATTCCTGTCCAGTGGATTGGTCTAGAATCACCAAGCTGTCTCATCGCTAAACGAAGTCTTGTCTGTGTTGATTCCTCTACACTTGTTTTCCATATTATAAGCCTGGAAAATGAATCCAAGGAGTCCATAGATATCCCATTATCAWCATTTACTAGTGAAAGTATCTCAGGTTCAAAGCTTCAGCTACAGGCTCTTGGATCTCATACAAACTCCTGGAATTCACGAAGTGAGTTTGTACTCCACTTTTCTGACACTCAACTCCTTCTCTTTAGCATGGATACTGACACTTCTCTTAAAGTCCTTAAAGAATACAACACCAAAACTATTTTGTTCAGTTCAGTTCTAAACAATAGAGCAATCCTAGTCTCTATGACGATGGACAATATGATGATCCAGTTGCGCTGTACTGACCTGGACACCAMCAGTGAACTTTCTGACATGGCCCAAAAGGTGCGGCTTGATAGCAATCACCATGGTTACCCAACTGATGGCACTGTTTATTTGTTTTCCAAGAAGGATCAAAATCTGGGTTACCGTGTGTTCCTGCTGACCAGTGATCATGCCATGTCTCTAATTCAACAAACAGGGAGAGTAATGTGGTCACGAGAAGAAGCCTTAGCTGGCATTTCTGCTGTTGATGTTGTAGAGTTGCCATTTTCTCCAGCGCAAGCCAACTTTGATACATTACAAGAAGAATTTGGGTCAAACCCTCAAGGTAAATATAGTTATTTGATAATAACAATCACTAGCATTTCAAAGTCTGCTAGGAACAACCTACAATCTCCTTCAAAATAAAATGAGTCACGTCGATTTCTTACCGGTTTAGCTCCCTCCCCTCCAGTCAATGTTGAATCCACGCTACAAAAAGTTCCCATTTCCCGGGAATACTTAGCGAAGCCATCCTCTCAACTTTGTATCAGGGGCAGGGGGCAAGTGACACATTTATTTTGCGGAAGATTGTAGTCACAAGTTAACCACACTTTTTTATCAGTTACAATTACTTTTCTATTTTTAACTGACTTTGAGACTTTGTCTATTTGTCCATTACTAATCATTATATCGTCTTTTAGATGATGTATTATCAATGTTTATAAGAAGGATTCGTGCCCAAGCCAAGCAATTCCAAGCACTTGTCAAGCAATTTCAGGCATTTGTGAATGCACAACAAGGACAYACCCCTGCACCAGACGTAACAACAACAGAAGAAGAGCAGTTAACGAGAGACCAGTTTAATCTGCGTAAACTGATACTCACTGTTACTGATGCGGGTAAAATGTTTGGATTGGATTCTTTAGGTGAGTAAAGATTATAGTTTTAGATGATAGCGATGAATGATGCTAATGATAATATAATAAATCTATAATAATAAACTTTTCAATATTAACTACAGTACTTATCCATCTTTTAACATTCAGATGGCAGTATCCTATGGAAGTCCTTCCTCCCAGACTTGGCCCCATTCACTACAAACAACAAGAACTTCTACCTTCTCTACACACAGCGAACAGTCGCTCACTTTCCTCTCCCAGCTCAGTGTGTTGTTCTTGGTAAATCAAGAAAAACGGGTGGTACAATTTTGTATGTATTTAACCCTGTGAATGGCAAACCATTGGATAAGAAAGCACCACAAGGAACTCTTTTACCTTTCAAAGTYACACAGTCAATGCTTCTCCCTCAAATAGGTAAAGTGAGAGTTTATTTGCCAAGTTATTCACTCATCTAATCAATCAATTAATTAATCATTCAATCAATCAATTAATTAATTATTTAAAGGTCAAATGTTAATCCTTGTATCATTGTTTGATTTTMTGATATTTTACTCCTCAGACAGCAAGCATGCCAAACTTCTGCTGCTGCTGGACTCAGACAAGAAAATCCATGTTTTCCCCGACACAAAGGAAGCCAATGGAATAATCTCAAAACAAGTCAATTCGCTGTTCTTTTATTTGGTTGATAAAGACMAAGGTTCTCTYACTGGTTACGTGACACAAGCTTCACAGGACAACAAATTGCTGCATGCTAAAGAAATGTGGAACATCCACATCCCTCCAACACAGCAGCAAATTACAACACTTGGTGAGATGAGTGGATGAATTGAAAATGGATAAATTCATGAATGATTTACTAAATTAATTCATACAGATTAGCAAATAAATTTAGTGATTATAATATATTCATGCTTTCGGTGTCAATTCCTCAGGAATCAAAAGCCCAGCTGAACATGTYCATTCACAAGGRAAAGTACTGGGTGACAGACGTGTCCTGTACAGATACCTTAACCCTAATCTCATATCATTGGGAACAGAGTCCATATCTGATGGAAAACCTAGCATATCCATCTATCTGATTGATGTTGTCACAGGTATKTTGAAGGGTTGGAATAATAAGATACAGTAGATCATAGAATTTTCAAATTTATGTGTGTTTTATATATCCTTAAGGTAAAATGTGGCTTGGCAGTTGCTTGTTTGAAGGGTGAATAGTGATGTTGTACTGGGTTCAATATATTTTTGAACCAGTTTAATCTAATTTGTTCCAGTACAATAAGTCTCACATGGCTTCACCCTTTCTTCATGTATAACAATACAATCTTAACTTAAGTGATGATATTTGATTGAGAAGTTTACACAATAATTTCTTTCCAGGTCTCATTGTGTACACCAATAGACATAAGAATGCAAAGGGTCCAATCAGAATGGTTCATTCAGAAAACTGGATGGTCTACTCTCTGTATAATACTAAATCTCGTCGTCATGAGTTAGTAGTTCTTGAGATGTATGAAGGATATAAGGAAAGAAACAGGTATAATATTATGTTATATTTATATGGTTTATAAGTCTTTTCATTTATTTTGGTACAATGTAGGTATATTGTTTGACAATGGTTWATAAATTTTTTATCTGCAATTCATATTGTTTATCCCAATGCAGTTTAGGCTGGAGTGTAGTATCCACAGCAAGCACTAGAAGACATAAATGCTCAAAAACCAGTTGATTTTCTCATACTCATTGACTTATCTCTTTCTTGTTCCTTCTAGCACTGCTTTCACATCACTGRATCCACCCCCACAGCCTCTAATCCTCCAACAGTCTTACATCTTTCCAACTGCAATCAGAACCATGACAGTAACCATCACAGAACGTGGAATCACTCACAGGAACCTTTTGATGGGATTACAGAGTGGTTACATAGTGAGTCTTTCCAAGAACTTTCTAGATCCAAGAAGGACTTTTAATCCAACTCAGGAAGACMGAGARGAAGGACTTTACCCTTACACACCAGAACTTGCTTTGAATCCTTTGGCTTTTATCAATTATAACCAAACAGGTTTGTACAATGACTTTAATAGAGATATGTAAACTGAAACTAAAATCTACAAGATTGAAAGAATTGACACATTTACGTACATGATAAAATGATTGTGATGRTGGTGGAGGCAGCTTGAATGAGAGAATATATAAAATCTACTTGTCATATTTGTCCTAATCAGCCATTACTTACATATACATTTAAATTGAAAATGTTTTACATTGATTTTTACAGTTACCCATATTCATGAAATCCACACAGCYGCTTCAGGACTTGAGTCAACCTGCCTGGTATTCACCTATGGCCTTGATTTGTTTTGGATTCGTGTTACACCTTCACGTATGTTTGATGTATTGAAGGAAGACTTTGATTACTGGTTGATTGCTGGAACTCTTCTTATTCTTGTGTTGGTTACMATAGTATCCAATCGACTAGCTTCTATGAAAATGCTGCGCCTTGCCTGGCAATAAAGCAACTTTAATACAGACACTTTCATGGACTTTCCATGGACATTATTTGAATCGACTAACTGACTTGCTTTGTGGAAAAAATATTGATGGTATTAAGCAGTGTGGCCCAATGTTTTCTGGATCATTGTAAGGCAGTGTATGTATGTTTCAAGCATCTTGTGGCTCTAAAAAGACTCTTTTTGCCTCATGATGCATACAAACAAAAGGACATTTTCAAACTRCCTATAAAGCGAGTACTAAGTAACAAGATTATGGTAAAACTTTCCAAGACATTTTGTTGCTTATCTATTACTTAGCAACAGATTRTTAGTATGTATTCTTGTACTTTGCCTTTGCAAATGTTATATTGTATTTCAAGGATATTTATATTTATTAGACATCAATGATTTCAATACASTTGTGGAGAAAAAGATTTCTTGGAGATGTAGTAACAAACATAGTGAACTTGATTGCGTCACACTGTCAATGATGTACACAAAATGATTCAATATGGTGAATAGGAACATATTTAAATAGTGCAAAACTATAATTATGAATGTAAAATATTATTACAGTGATTGTCTTTCATCTTTTTAAGGATAGTAAAGGTATAGGTGTTAGAAAGTAGCTCTACCAACAAGTGCTTAAACGAGATTGTCATTCCTTTCCATTGACTATGAAAATCACTACCATTTTAATYACAGTAGTTCTTACAACTCATCAAAAGTTAGTTGCAATATAATTCTTGATAAGCTGAACTGGCTCAAAAACATSTATGTACAACAAAATTCTACATTAATATTTACTAATAAAATTTGCTAGATTTTGTTCCTTTAAATGTTTACAATTTAAATAAAAATAAACGAAATTTACTCTTGAAATGTTTCTTTTTTTTTTCGTTCTGTGTTCTGTGACTGGCATGGTATGTCTTATGGTTTGGGTGTCCTGTTGTTTTTACAACACAGGAAGCCCATCATCAAAACATAGTTTTCTTTTGTAATGTCCAGATATGTGGTTTAGGYATCAACAAGAGATTTTGATGGGACTTGGTAAGGTATTAACCAGCCAAGACCATCTTCAGTTTTTCCTATAAGGAAGAAGAGCGTTATGATAAATAGGAGAACCAAAATCCTGCATATTTTTTGTCCTCCCTGATGCATTCCTCTCCGTTCTACTATCTTGGTGCATCTATAATACTGGTAACTTCACTGTAAAGTGCTGTGTGTTCTTTGTTGAATGTCTCACCTCTTGGAGTATATTCACAACCTATCCAACCCTGGTAACCAAGTTTAGCAATTTGATGGAAAATGTAAGGGTAGTTTATTTCACCATCAGAATCAGGTTCACATCGATTTGGAACTTGACTTATTTGAATATGACCTGAAACCATWGCAAGATATACTCTTAAATAATGGCACAGTAGATGATACAGTTCATTGTTAAAAGACAAACCACTCTTGAAGGAAATAAGAATGTCATAGGGTTTGTTACCTTACCAATATATGGCATATAATCTTGTATTGTTTGTGTAAGATTGCCATGACCTCTCTGTGCATGAAATAAGTCCTGTAAAATATAATATTGGACAAAATGGTGATTAACATATATACCATTTCCAATAAGAAGCAATATACCTCATTGCCAGCTAGCCTGGTAGTATTRCTTATAGACCGAGGTGCTTGCGACTTCTTGTACTTACCAGCATAAGTTTAACATTTTCATGATCAACTTTCTTTATTATATCAATTGCTGATGCAAGAAATAAATACATTAGTCAGTTGCTGCAGAAGGCTGGTGCACAGTACAAAGTGGGAAGTTGTGGGGGGGGGGGGGGGGGTTGAGGGGTTAGTCTGGTTTGATCAGAGGTTGGCAAGTTTAGTTATTAACATACCTTGTTTTGTTTGAGATAGAAAACAATTTGGGATTGTTGTCACAGGTTCTATTAGCAGCATAATCCCAGCCTGGAAGAATACACATAGACAAACAGTAAGTTTAGCAACCATTGTCAGATGTGATATGAATAGGCACCAATATTTATCATTATGGTAGAACCACAGGGAACCCAGTCTTGTGGCAGTATGTTTGCAATGTAGGTCTGTTTTTACCTCTTGAAGTCTTTGTGCTGAATATTTTAGATTCTTAATATATGTTTTTTCCCAAAGTTCTTTGACATTTTCATGTTTGGCCTCTTCGTCGGTCATTGCTCCACATGGAGGATGAATCCTAATTTACAAAGAGCACTTTAACATACTATATTTTTTTTATTTCAACTTATATTTTAATTTCAATTACTTAGGACATAGGGATATTTACGAGGATCTCTACATCTCTATGTCTGTCTCACCCACAAATAAGGAGATTTAKTTACCTTTTACACCTCAGGGCCTCCGCATATTTGATTGACAGCTCAAGACATTGTTTGTAATCCTCCTCTTTCCCTGGCACRGCTGCTAACCCTGCTGTGTCCCCTGAAAATATAGAAATGAATGAAATAAATCATTTGAGCTTTTGATCTGACTTACCTGAAGTACCACTAAAAGTCTTATTTTTTAAAAACAATGAAATGAATAGAAATAGTGGAAAAGGATGAAAGGGAATGAAAGAAATATAGTGTATTATCTACCTTTAAATGCATTGATTAAAACTTGCTCAACTCCAGCTTCTTCTCTTGCTTGAACTAGTTCATCGATGGGTATGGCATAMGGATCACCAACTTCAACAGCTGTAAAACCTTAGGAATTACAGGAATTATTATAACAAAATGCATAACTTTTAGCGAGTACACCCTGCAAGCGTGTGAGATTACCTGCCCTTTTTGCGGCGAAATATCTATCTGTCAGATTTTCGTACTCTTGAAACATAAAGCTCAAGCTTGAAGAAAACTTCAGGGCCATTTTTGTACTATTTTCCTTCAGTAGACTTCACGAAGGCATCGAAAGAAAGTGTGTTTACATATACTACTGAAATTTACTACCAAATATTGGAATTCGATAGCAATGTGTGACATGTCATGCATAACGCAATGATTTATGAATATTTATAAAGTTAGTTTGACGTAGATAACCTTATTTGGCACAGTTTACCATAAATAAAAGCCATGGTAACGCCAGTCATGTGGTTCATTCCAAAATTGTCAGGACAAATAAAGTGAGGTTTCGGAAGAAGTAACTTTTCAACTTCGTGTTTTCTACTCGAGATTGTGAATTTGTTTGATCCAAAATGGCTCTTCTTAATAGGAGACTGAAGGAAAAACCTACTGATGAGGTTGCTTTGCTGATCGAGCCYGAAAAAGTGGTTCTTGTCGATGTKGAAGACGACGAGGACGAAGAGATCGAAGAAGAAACTTTTACACATCACGGAATTACCCTATGGGTGTCYGATGCTGTTATCCTAATTGTACAACATTTACAAATCTTCGCTTTAGTATTAGCGATGTCAGAACGATGGGGATTTCCATTTGAATTTATCAAAGAAGTTTATTACATTTTTATTGTRAACTTAGACGTTTGGGAGTATGTCAAAGTGAGTTCAGGAGCCTATTCTGGCTCAACCACAAGTTATGTCAAAACCTCAAGCTTGCCATTTGGATATCAGCCATACTTCATAGCGTGGAGTGCTCTGTTCTTCGTTACATGTTTAGCTTTTCTTTGTACTTACATACACTTTAAAGTAAAGAGGCCGTTGTATTTGCTTCTTCATGTTGCAAGGTTAAAGAGAATTTTCTGTGTGCTTGCACAACTCGCATGTATTCCAGTTGGTATTGTCATTGTAAGAGTCTTCCACTGCCATGAGAATGGAAACAAGCTTTTGATCTGGACTGTTGATAATACTGTGCAGTGCTGGACAATGCCACATTATGTCTATGTTGCAGTTGCAATGGTCATTGCAGTCATGGTGTTTGTTGCTTATCCAATCAACCTCATCCGAAAGACCAGGGGTCAGGTTATCTCATTTGATCCTGATAAGCATGAAGGATACTTACAGCTCAAAGAATCTGAGTACAACCAGGGATTGGACATATTATGGGCTGTTGGACAATTCCATCTCTTCTCATCATTCAGAAGAATGTGGATATACTATCGTCCAATCATCTTCTACCTCAAGTTCTTCCTTCTTTGTTTTTATGGAGGACTTACGTTTTATCCTTCCAGGTCTCTGAGTCTGAAATTAGCTCTGAATATCTCTATTGCAGGTTCATTTGTTATCATTGTTTTTGTGATGCTGAGTTCAAGTGTTGCCAAACCACCCATCTCAAGGTTCAGAGCTTTTATCTTTTGGTTCATCTTCAAGTTTGTTAAAGAGTTCATCTTCATTATCTTCAGCGTCAAGCTAGACATGCTTCTTCCAAAGTTTTTCCTTGTGTTGGTTGCATTTGGTGCCTACAGTATTGACAGCTCAGGTGGTGGAATGGGATTCCTGATGTCACTGTTGATCATCATCATGTTACGATCACCGCCATTCAGAGTCACTCCATTTAACTTCATGATTGTTTTCTGCTTTTTGGTGAATTCTGGTAATGTCTACTTTGGATGTGTCATAGAGAAGAATAAGTTCAGTGATATCTTGAACCCATTGCTTGTCCATCCATACCCATATTATGGCATCATAGCCTTGAACAGCATCTGGTTGGCAGTTGCAATTGGATGGATAATTTACCTTCTGCTCAGATACTACCAAGTCATTGGTGGCAAGAGACCACTGTGGCCTACACTTTCAAGAGATGGTAAGAGTGACATGGATACAGAAACAAAGAAATATATGCGGGCAGTTCTTCGTGGCCGCCATATCCTAGAGAAAGCTCTGTCAAGCCCACCTATATTTGCTCCAGTTCATGAAATAGAGAGACAGATTCATGTTATCAATGCCTATTGCAGGGAGGCAGAATATCTTGAGGATCCAACTTTTGAATCATTATGGGACTTGCTTGATGAGCTGATTGAGGCACACAGGGYATTGTCACCTTTATCAATGTTTTCCCAATCTGTCAAGAAGTCTGTAAGAGAAACTTCAAAGGAATTCATGAAGTTGATGCCTCAGATGCGAAAACGTCTYGACCAGCGAGAACATGACTTCATTCTAATGGACCCTGTCAAAAAGCGAATGCTGTTGAAAATGTATGTCCTTGGGGCCTTTGTGAATGGCAGATGTGACAAGATTCGATATGAAGTTGAGAAGAAAGTTCACAAAAGCCTTGAGCAAGCTGCAATCAGACCAATATCATCARTCATGAGTAGTGTTAACTCTACCGACTGGGATAGTATATATGGTACAAAGGACCATTATGACAGTGACATGTATGGTACCAATTCCAGTTCAGGCAGCAGACCAGGAACTTCCCTCACATCAAGAGTTGATAGTGTTGATAAGCTTCTTRATGAAGTAGATACTTGGGAAGAGGACCACAAGCCAGRCAGACCAAAAAGTGCTATGAAAACGCAGTCTATAAGCTCATTGCGCTCTACTCAAGAATTCAGTTCTGGGCAAGACAGTTCCCCAACAGGTAAGCTGGTCCAATAGTTCCACAGAAGGAAGCACAAAGAGAGCAAAATTGAATATTATTTCATAATTGGAATGTTTGTTCCTAATAACTTTCATCTTTTTTTGTCAGAATCATTTTCATCAACAACCTCACTTCCTGGACAAGTAACCTTTGATGAATACCCCAAAGATACACAACCCAAGAGACCCAAATCAGCTCCACAAAAAGACAACAACCAGAAAACTGTGAAAAGCTCACTTGGGACACTTTGAACACTATGAACATGTGTCATAATCAGTTCTGAGGATATTTGTTACAATGAGCATTGATCTATAAATAGTCACATGTATCTGTTTCATAGTGTAAAATAATGTAAATATTGTATATATAAGAAGCACGATCTGTTTTGATCTTTTTCAAATAAATATAATCTATTATCATATACGATGGAGTGACTTGGGAATTGACAGCCTCTAGCCCTCTACATCTTGCACTGTTAAATGGCAGCATGGGGCTGCAAAGTWCCTTCAGGTTGCTCCTTTGCAACTCTGCAAGATGAAAAAATAATTTTTAGTAAACCTCGAGCTTGTATTGTTTCATCAAAATACTTATGTGGTCACAGCAGCGGCTATGGATAGAAATCTTCATGAAGAGTATACAGAACGTATCTGCTGTGGGGTGTGGTGCAGGGTTGATAGAGAAATCAAAGGGTATCGATTGTGATATATGAGGACCATCCCTGGATCCACTCCAGCATAAATGACTCCAGGCACCAACAAATTTCTCTAGGAAAGAGAACGTGAGTCAATTAATGATCACCTAACTGGAACTGGGTCCGGAACTAATATCACAGAAAAGCATCTGTAAAATGCTGAATTTCGACAAGGATACCATTTTCATTTAGGGTTAATAATAATGTGAGTCCTAAAAGATACGAAGTTATCACAAATAATATCATGATCTCTGTCATGAGGGCAGAGATAATGTTTTGTGATCTTTTTTGCTAAACCAATCTTGACTTCGATTTCGGATCAAAGAATAATGCTTCATTTACCTAGMAAAATCTGACTTTTTGTCMAATTTTTCTAATTATTTTGATAATTTGTTTCGTCTCCTAAATAAAATCGCTTGAASCAATAAATTTCRGTCACTTTTCAGRGGTAAAATAAGCTATTTTCAAACGCTAATWACGTTTATTYGTACTTCTGCGAGCTTGAAGCTCAAATCGGATCGAAAGTTAAGGKAGCGACGAGTTTTGATTGGTGGATTAAAAAAAATTCTTTGTTAYGATTGGCTCGTGCGTTACTTTTTCAAACCAATCACAAATWGGCAAGAAAGCTAATTTACATATAASTATATGACCCTTTTCCTTTTAGGTAAGTTTTTGCGATAYAAAAGCTGRAACGCGGGCMAGKRGAAGTCATTTACAAAAGCGATAAACAGCGAATTTAGTAGCTTTGAATATTTGTGAAAGACATAATGACTGGAAGAGGTAAAGGAGGAAAAGGTCTAGGAAAAGGAGGTGCAAAGCGTCATCGTAAGATCCTTCGGGATAACATCCAGGGTATCACCAAGCCCGCCATTCGTCGTCTAGCTCGTCGTGGTGGAGTCAAGCGAATCTCTGGCTTGATCTACGAAGAAACTCGTGGTGTCCTCAAAGTCTTCCTTGAGAACGTGATCCGTGATGCTGTAACCTACACAGAGCACGCCAAGAGAAAGACCGTCACCGCCATGGACGTCGTCTACGCTTTGAAACGCCAAGGACGTACTCTGTACGGATTTGGTGGTTAGATCGCATCGATCATCAAACACAACGGCTTCTTTTGAAGCCACCCACATTTTCAAAAGTCAATGGTCAAATGCTTTTACAAATTAWGTTATAACTACATTACATACAATCAAATTCAAGTTTTGAAAAGTCCAATAGTCCACTTCGCGGATAACACAGCTATTAGAAATTGAGCAAATWTCGAAAAACTATTACCACCACTGGAAAGAACAGTATGAAATTAGTATGTTTACCAGGTTTGAGCATGATTCGATGAAAAGTCAAGGAGAAACAGCGTTTAAAAGACGGCAAAATTTACAAAGAAATGTATGGCTGTCGGCATGAGACCGAGGTTGACCTTGACTTGTTACAACCTGGCCAAACATTTCTATGCAAAATTTAGTGCCGTATCTCTTTGAATTTAAATCAGATTATTTYCAWACWTGGCAAATTTGCTGATTTTATGACGCTCTTTCCAGTGATGTCAATGATTTACCATAACGACGTAATGTAAAATTTCGAATTATCCGCGAAGTGGACTCCACATTAAATTGGGTCACGATTTGCTGTGTTAATAAAACATTTTATTCAGTTGTCACGTTATTAGTAAAGATACCTTACAATAAGCTTACAAAGTTAAAGCTAGGCTAGGCATGCTTTTCCCAATACGAGTCTCCATTTTTTTCTTTTCGAGATATACCAAATACTTACACCAGTTAGTGACAAAATGTTTAAGAATGTTAAGTTATCTTCAGTTTTGAAAATGTGAAAACCTATGATGAATGTTGAGACTTGTGGGATGTTGAGGATTCAATCTTTAACCTGAAAAGGAACTTGTGAAGTAGTGATTGTCAGTAATTAATCTGAAGGCAGCTCATTAAAACAGTACCATCTAAATAAACCCTACACTCATGGGTGTATGCCAAACACATTTCACAAAATAGTTTGTCAGGTTAACAAAGAAATAAGAGATGAATAATTCTTCACACTTGTTTTAAACATTCATCATTGTCATCATTGTAAAAGTTGATTCACTAAGTACTTTCTTTGCAAGTTAAATCATTGATGGTAATGTTTTAATGTGCACTATATAGATCCTTGTCATAAACTTGTGTTTGGCAGCGCCATTTCACTCCCCAACTTACTTGACCTTCCACCAGGTATGCTATTTTCTTTCTCTTGACCGGGATCGTCTTCTAGAAAACAAAAACTATCGGTCAAAATCACAATGTTCGTTGTTCTCACAAGTAAGAACACAAAATGTAGAGAGTACTGTAGTCTGCTGCAGAAAAACCCTATCAGGCTTAGGGCAAAAGGAAAGAAACTATATAAGTGGCAGWGTTAGACTGGTATTTTTTTACAAGCCAAACCTCCTGTCCCTCGGTGACCTGGAACGAGATCTAGAACTTGATCTAGATTGATTTTTTCTGCGGCTTCCATGGGATCGAGAGGAAGAACTTGAAGAAGACCTTGATCTAGATCGTGAGCTTGAGMGGGATCTGGAGCGGGAACGAGACCTTGATCGACTGGATGACGAGGAACTGTTCCTTCTTCTCCTCTTCTTGCTYTTAGGAGATCTAGATCGTGACCTTGATGAGGAACTTGACCTGGACCTAGTTCTGCAATAGGGAATATTATAACTATGACATAGTGAAATATGTACTCTCAATATGAACCCTTGCCTGACAATACATTAAATGTTATGCAGTATTGAACTTGATATAACACGAAATGAATTAAATATGCTGTTGGTGATGACAATGACTGACAACAATAACAATGATGATGATAATAATGTGGATGGTAGTGGTAAAGGCTGACAACAGTCTTGAAAATATGATGAAAATATTCATAATCCTGTATCTGCCTATTATCTCTTAAACAACAAAGCAAAATTATAATGTTATCAAGAATGAATTCCACTGGTTTCACAATATCTGCAAGTAGCACTTCAGAAAAAAACTTTAAAAGATGTAAAAAATCCCTGGGATATGCTAGATTGATCACAATCTGTAAGCAGCATAGATGCGATAGCAATTTTACCGGCCCTTCTTCTTGGGAGTGTTGCTTTCTTCATCTGACTCATCAAGTGCATACTTGGATAGATCAACATCATCATCATCATCATCCTAAAAAAGTATAATAGAAATTTAATGGCAAGAAGCAGCAGCATAGAGCATTAAGATGATCTTAAAGGGCAATAAGCTACAAAGGGTCAAGAATGAAATACCTCATCATCTAAATTATACTTTGACARATCACCATCCTCATCATCTTCTTCCTCTTCTTCTTCATTATATTGAACAACAGGTTTTTCCTCTTTCTGGTTTAAATTGAGAGTAATAAATTAATCTTTACTTTGAAATTGATAACACTCAGAAAAATAACATTTTATTCAAAAAAACTTCAACAAAGGCAGAACAACTTCAAACTTTGAGTTAAACTTTGCCTTTGTTGAATTTTTCCTTAGTAAATTGCAGCAAAACAAACCTTTTCTTCATTCTTAGATGCATTATTTTTCTTCTTCCTGCGGCCGAACTGAAAAASCAATACA